CCAGTGGACTTGGTGGTCTTCAGTGCTGGAGTATTTGATGATGGCAGATTTCTCGAGATCCCCCCATCATCGTTGGGCTCGGTGTTCATTGAGTCTGGTAGTGAGATCTCTGTACACCTTGCCGCATTCGCAGGGGATCCTGTAGACCCCTGGCTTGGTCTTGGGGCCTTGTTTGTCCTTGTGAGACTGGAGAGTAGCCTTGATCTTGTTGGGGGCGGTATGGAAGACTTTGATGCCATGGTGTTGAAGGATGCGCTGGATCCAGTGGGAGGTATATATTGCCTATGTAGGGGAGGGTGACAGAACTAATGTGCCTAATGGGTTGACCTTGGGCATAGGAGACCCGCTGGTCTGGGGGGGGTCTAGGGTCTTGATCTGTCTTGACTTGAACCCGTTCTGCTGTAGTGCTGTGGAGATGTGATGGAGTTCTGATTGTAGGTGGTCTTGGTCGCAGATGTTGTATGCTCGACACCCGAGGGTTCTGTTGACGGAGGCCTTGATGCTGGGGTGGTGGAATGACCGGTTGTTCAGGTAGCGGTCGGTGTGTGTTGGCTTCCTATACACTGTGCGGGATAGGGTGCCGTCTGGTAGTCTTGAAACCTCGACATCCAAGAATGCAATGCGTCCGTCTTAAGGTTCAGTACACAATACAACTCAAAAGGTTAACATTCAACTTGTATAATTTTTTCATCAAATTTGTAAGTTTCTAAGCATTAATGCAATATGAGACTATTTAAATACTGATGGAACTCCAAGAAGCAAACAAGCACTCAATGGCACATTTTAACACCTATGGATCTGCAAGGAAAAACTTTAACATTTGAGGGCGGACGGCCGGCCGCCCCGACAGACGGACGGACGCACAGAAGACGGAAATCGGTATTACATAGGCTCGCACTTGCTTCACAGCTCGCCAAAAATGGCTGCTGAGGAAGTGACTCTGCAACGTTTGAGTCCGGTAAGAAGAGAGTGCTGAGCTTGTGTCAACCTTAACCCCCCCAACAAAAACTAAATAATTTGACAAATTCTACATGCCACAACAGTTTACCATAATGGATTATCGATGTCAAATCTGTAGATTCAAATGTTCCAGCCACGGTTTTAATGAAAATGTTTAAATTGCAAACAATTTTTAAAAAGGGCCCTGTGTGTACTTAGCTGTCAAGAAATACTGTTTACCAAACTGTTTACATAGCAAAGCATTCAAGACGTCTTACTGTAACATCTCAGGAAATTTTATTCACACATTTCTTAAACGGCCAGGATGTATTACAAACTTATCTTCAAATGGGTTGTCCATAATCAACTGTGAATGCCGTTTCCATTTTATTTTAAAGGGTGGTTCATCAACTTTCCACCTCTGCCTTGTTTGCATAGTTGTACACAATATTATTGCTGGCAAATCACTCTGCAAAAACACCTCAGGTAATGCCTTTTAAGTAGTTGTTGGACTCTCTGACACCTGTAAAATCCCTCCACACACATACATGTATGTACGAAAGTGACCACACGGAAACTAGGATTTGGAAAGTATTAAGCATTTCAAAACACACAATAAACCTGACTGATACTTTGTGTGAAAATACACACAAACACAAAATTGTAATGTCGTATCCAATATTCACAAAGGCTTTGTGACATCCAGGTATGAATCAGCCTTTACACAACACAGAATTTTCATATGACTGCAGGAGGTATAGAGAAAATCTAATTTTTACAAACAGATAATGTCAGATTCATGTATCTTGCAAATGACGAGCATGCTACCTTTATTTGTGTGGAAATGTATTTGATGGCTTGAGGGTCGTCTAAGAATGGGTACTTAGATAAGCCATGATCTGTTGCTCCAGCACTGGTTGATTTGTGAGAGTTGCTCTGCTGTTTTGTGCTGGACATCATGAGGATGCAGGTCTGCAGGAGGACCATGAGAGAAATGGTAGCAAGTACAATCAGTCTGGATGGGAGAGTTGGCCGCACTGAACTCGGTATCTGTGGGATGAACAAAATGAAGAGAGACTTACAGGACAGAGGGCACTGCTGTACGGAAAAAGTGTCTTTTCAACTTAATACCTATCAAATTCCCTATCAAATCAAACACTTTCTGGTGTCAATCTCGAGGGTTTGTGTGAAATCTGCTGAGATTGTTTTCACACAACGATGAGAATACTCCCAAACCCAAATTTTACTGTTTTGGGTCATGCAGCATGTAACTCACATGCTGCATGACCCAAAACAGTTGTCTGAACTTTGACCAATTTTTCTCCATAAGTTTAAACTCCTGTATTTTCAGACTAGAATGTCAGACAAAGATGATATTCATCTTAAATTTAAGCTCATAACCAAGAAATCATCCCGTTTGCATATTATGTGATAACAGATCAAAGTTCGACATAAGGTCATACAAAATGGACTTTGATCTTTGGCCCCTCCTGAGCTGCAAAGTTTTACGTTTTTGGGGGGAAATTTCGCTCAAAGAAAGTCCCAATTGTATCCGTGCTTGAAAAATATAACAATGGGATCTCAAGGCATTTGGACGGAAGCAAAGTTTAAAGGAGGGCATTAATGGTCCAAATGCATACAATGGTAAACAGCTGTGCACGTACCCGTACAAAGTACATGTACATGCAATCAGTCCATCAGCATATGATGCGATCAAACTGTGCTATTAATCAATCTAGTATGAAATCTGCGACTTCACTTCCCTTGTTTTAAACTAATCTTCCACAATCACAAATTAGAAAGAAAAGGCAATCAGGTGACAGCAGAATTATTGGTAAATTGTGCAATAATATCAACAGATTATGCAAAGATCAAACCAATATATATGCACATGTACCTGTACATAGTGGGTGTGATCATTCAACATATGTGCGATCACCTGATCTTAGTCCATGATTTGTGAATAATTCCACCATCAGCCAAGCACCTTTTGTTTGTATTTCATGGTTGTGAAGACTGTTTAAAAAAAGGGATGTTGCAGACTTCGTGCCTGATCGACCAACTGCACTAGCTGATCATGCCCCAAATACACACGTACATATGCCCAAAATGTCCAACAGACATTAGCAGTTTGGCAATAAATAACCAGTGGTCAGAAATGTGCCTAAAATGTTAGGAATCGTTTCCTATTCTTAACTTCCTTTAAAAAAAACCCAACATGTTCAAAGTCATGAATAGCCCCCCAAAAGTACATTTCATTGAAAATTTAAAAGGAAACAACATTTTGGCAAAAGGAAAAGAATCACAACCCTATTTGATTCTTGATTTCAGCTTATCCAAATTCTAAGAGACCATGCAAGTACTCAATCACTATTTTTTACTATTATAAATGTTACGCCCCAACTATAGCATAAGTCCCAACTATAGGGACAGTCCCAACTGCAATGCTGCAGTTGGGCTGGCCCAACTATTGTTGACCAATGTCTGTGGGAAATATCTCAACATTATCCAAGTCAATGTGTCTCACACTTGACACAATTCATCTAAAATGTGGCACTTTATCTGTTCATCTAGCCCTATGACCAATGACACGACATTTGTAAACAATATGACTTTGGCACATGCTGGGCACATCATGCACACAGGACCTCTCTGCTGTAGTTGGGACGGGCCCCAACTCTAGTTGGGATGGGCCCAACTATAGTTGGGACTGATGCTACAGTTGGGACATAACACAAACATGAGATCTTCCAAACAACTTTAAAGTCCAACACATGCACATTACATGCATTAATGCTGCCAAATGCATGGCACCAAACAAAAGAAAGAGTTCATCACATGGCACCCTGTGCACAAACCCTATGAGACTGGTCTGAAAAACTCAGTATTTTCTAAGTAAACACTTCAATATTTTCCTAGATAAATTTGGCATTTTCTAAGGAAAAGTTGTCACTTTCTGATGGCTGATATGTTACTGCAAGGAAAAATGAGTGATGTCTGTATACAGAACTAGTCTTAGTCTTACACCGAACCATCACCATGCTAACTGCAGGGCTGGATTAGTGATATTGCAATAAATTTAATATAAAATCAATGATATACCTACCCCATACAGCTCCATCATATTTTGTGACCAGAAAACTTGGTCAAGTTAGTGTAGGCCTAGGCCTACTAACGTTAGCTGGCCAATACCGTTATGGCAAACACTTTTAAACAGTTGTGAGTGTGTCCATGAATGAACGAAGACACAGGTCCAGCCAGGCGGTTCAATATGTCATAAAAATTAAAAAAGGCCGAGGCCTGGAAGAATTTTTCTCAAACTGTAAACATGTCAAAGGCAAAATGAACATGACTTCTAGAACATATAGCGTTAGAACTTGGCAGCAACCTCAACGTTAGTCGTAGGACTAGACCAGTAGTAGGTCTACGATAAGTACAGCACATGATTTATGAAAAGTTGACGTGCACTTGCATCCCATGGCTTAAACAAGTTAAAGTTTAGCCTTCCAACATGCCAATATCGCCCGGCACGGTATTAACTCTGAATATCGACATCCACACGCAACGCTGGGTCGAGTCGGTGAATTCACCCACAAGGGCACGGTGCGGCAATGGACTTCTATGCAAAGAAAACACACCAATTTCCGTAGCCACCCAATGCAGACTTTCTACCCAGACGTCGTTACGCTTGAATGATTTCAGCCAATCCATGCATGGGCCGTCTCGATGTCCGCAAGCCTTGGCTACGGCTAGAAATTGGCACGTCAATCCATAGGAAATGCACAGAGCCGCTGCCGCTACCTCGAGTAGCAGTGGAATTGCATTAGTCTGGTTCGAGCCTCCTAGCAAAGCCTATGCTGCCTGCTGTAAATCAGGAACCAGTCTCCCAAATACACCGTAAAAGTGCTGTGGTTCAACGAACGTTCAACGTACATGTACATCAGACATGTACATGTTTCACTGACTGGTGACACATGCGATTTGCCAGGGTCTAAACATACTTAAGCCGGGCTCGGACTGTCTTGATATCCAAGTTGTGGTTCTTACATCGACGTGTCCCATGGCAGGGGAAGTGAAATGCCGATAATGCTAAAGAGGAGGAATTCAATTCGTTCATAAATAAGGTTTGTGAACTAGATTCTTTGTGCCATGTGATCTGAACACAGACATGATCATGATGGACCATCGATGAGCATGATGAGGTAGGTAAGTGGACGCCTACCACCAGGTAACATTAGCAGTAGCATTGTTAGTTAAGAGGCTTCAGTGCAGGAAAACATGGGCCGTTTTCCAGTTCTCAACTTCGGCTCCGTCTCAGGCTTCAACTGTTTGTTTACTAGCTGACTTTGAAGCTGTAAGTCATGTACAGTGTAAGTGCAGTCATGGCAGTTACATGTATCGTGGTTAATATCAGTGCCACAGAACATCAAATAAGATGCAAGAATGCCAAAAAATACAGTAATCTAATGTACATGTAATTTAAGCGTTTCAGGTCCACAATCGGGGATTGGTTTTGGGAACGAAGCCTGAGACGGAGACAAAGTTGAGTAATGGAAAATGGCCATAGAAAGCAAGATCAAGCGAACTTTTTAAATAGGGCACACCTACTCACTCTTTCGGAAATTTTAGGTGATAAAATTCTCTGAGATTTTCATGAGGCAATGATGCTATTACGCCCTAACTATAGCATCAGTCCCAACTATAGTTGGGCCCGTCCCAACTAGAGTGCTACAGTTGGGCCGGCCCAACTACATGTACAGCAGAGAGGTCCTGTGTGCGTGATGTGCCCAGCATGTGCCAAAGTCATATTGTTTACAAATGTCATGTCATTGGTCATAGGGCTAAGTGCCACATCTTTGATGAATTGTGTCAAGTGTGAGACACATTGACTTGGATAATGTTGAGACATTTCCCACAGACATTGGTCAACAATAGTTGGGCCAGCCCAAATGCAGCACTGCAGTTGGGACTGTCCCAACTATAGTTGGGACTTATGCTGTAGTTAGGGCGTAACAATACCATGCTGTAGGCCTACTTCACATGCTTCACAAGCCTACTTTGACATGTCATGACATGTTAAACTCTGAGTTCTTGGGTCAGTTTTAAAGCTAGGCATGCATATTGCTAGCAAAGTAGTGTAGCCATAACGTGCCTGATGGTATAGTCGCCAGGTCCCTAATTTTGCCACCTATTGTTAAATAAGGGACCTGGTGACTATACGATCACACACATTAGACCCCTACATGTACAACTGTACTTGGGAAGTTCCATATACGGACAACACTAATTTTTCCCTTAAAATGTTAAAGCAGCCGTCAGAAAGTGATAACATGTCCCACATAGTGAAATTTAGCTAGGAAAATTCCGAAGCATTTACTTAGAAAACCCTTGTTTTTGTCATACAAGTGGTGTCCATATGGAACTCTTTCCCCCTTTTTTCTGTAACATTTTTTTCATCTGACATATCTGAGAATGAAACCAAGTAATTTTGTTATGCCATAAGTATTATAAAAGGGTCCCAACCGAAGGCACTTACATGTAAGTTGGGTCAGTCCTATTGCAGTGTGCAGTAGTGTTTGCCATCCTCATTTGTACAATGTACATGTAGGAATGCTGGTCAACTCATGTGCCAACTCGTACACTGATCAAGCCGTATGCCAAATTGTGCAATTATTAGTCAGTGTTGGTATGACAGGCGCAAGTATGTGTGCTGTTATGTTTCTCTTGTCCTCAGTGTGAGGATATGTGCCATGGTGCTGTCCTTGCCCAACGTGGCATATCAATATTTAGCCCTAGTTATGCCACTGCCTGTCCTCTATAATACTAAAATAGGCTAATGAAAGTAGATTTGTGTCTCGTCAGTGCCTGCATGTGATTTGGGCCCGCATCAAAAAATGTCATTATTAAAAAAGAAAAGCAACAGCGCAACTTGACAGAATATCACTGAAGTTTAAATCAGTGCTGAGCACTTATGGTCTCACCGGTACCCTTCAATTTTTGCCCCCAAACTTATAAATATTACAACTTTGTAACAGATTTTTGTTGTACTTCAGATGCCATACAGTTTTTCAGAGAACGGTCACAACAAATATATATTTTTGCTTCAAATGACCTTTGTTTTTGTTTCAATAAGTCAGATGTGATGTAAATCAGTTGTTCTTGTTAGAGAAGCTTTTTACATGATCATAATTGATATATTAGTTCCAGAAGCTAGGGTTTTGTTACTTGGACAGAAAATTTATTTTTTTGAGTTTGTAGCAGTTTGAGAAGGTAAGATCCTAGGGGAGGCTTTTTTTTGCATGAGTTCATGGATTTTTTTGGAGGGGAAGGGAATTCACAAGCGCCACGTACATGTACATGTACCAGTAGGTCAGGACTTGAGAATGCGCCTTTTGCTTTGCAAATTCAACAGATTTCTGAGACCTCATTTTAAGGACTGAGTCGTTTTCTTCACGCTTTTGGGATAGACAGTCGATGTCACCATTGTGTCATGTGACCATAATACGCATATCATTTGTGGTGGTCACATGCAAACTCTTAATTACTGCTTAATGCCACTTCCACCCTACATGTGTGTTTATGTGCATAATTGTTAACTCTGACTTAACCAGCGAATCAAATGAGAATCGATTCTCATGCTGATAATTGGTTTAATGCCTCTAACACCTGTCATCGTGTGTACGTATGTTTAACTGTGTGCAGATTTATACAAAACTTCGGGAGTTTTTCTTCAAATCCTGTGCTGACATCACACAACAGATACAGTGTGAGCTATTGACCAGTGAAGAGGCTACTTCAAAGACTTCAATGGGGAACTGCTTGGACTGTAAGTCCCACGAGGGGGCAGAGAAGAAGACGAGGGGGGCAAACAATGTTCAGCGGTCCCAGCAGCACAATGACACCAGCTACAAGGCCATCAGCAAGAAAGACAGCCTCAAACTTGAGGTGAACGAATCATTCCCAAACCTACAGCATATAAGTGACAGGGAGCAGTTTGTTGAAGGTGAGACAGTGTTGTAGGCCCTACTGCCTTCTTTTCGGCACATGGTAAAATATCAATAATTTGTGTTGTTCACCAATATATAATATTACAGAATTGTTGTACAGGTGGTGGCCTGTTACTGTTATTTGACCTGTGCGCGTTTGGTACTTTCTCATGGACAGCCTACCGTACATGAACATATTCCATTTTAAAGTGCATCAAGCTTGCTTGAGGATAAATTTGTTATCCAGCAAAATGGAAAAATATGGTGTCTGTGTTCCACCTAATACTTGACCTTCGACCTCGTGGTATGTGGAACACAGACGCACAACGTGATTTCGTGTTCCACTCACACTTGTAATATAACTTACGCCATTTACATGTATTCCACCAAATAGGACCAGCTGTCCACAAAGTTGTAGGAGTTTATCGGGCAATCTTTGCACAATGGTGTGACCATGTTGCAGGATTTCTTCCTGTATCTTCTGTCCCTGAATAGATGAGATGTCACTGCGACGTTTTATTTTGGAATGTTGACTTGGCATTCTGTTTGTTGAAATTTTATGAAAGATGTTTGTAGATACATGTGCATGTATAACCGCTTGAATCAAAGCATTGTCAAGAAATGAGGTATTTGATTTAATGCCAATTTCAAAACTTTCAAGATGTATTTTTGCGTTGGGAAGATGTTAATTATATATAACGGTTTACCCGTACCCAACGTATATTAATATGCACTGTATGCTCAGTGCTTGTCCGAGAACTTGCACAAAAACATCA